ATATATATATATATATATATATATATATATATATATATATATATATATATATATATAGCTTAAGATTTTGGTTTACGAAACACAAACAGTGCTCAATAGCATATAGATAGAGCGTAATATAGTTTTTCGTTTTACCTCAAAAACCACAACAGTCCAATGATTCCACCTGATGATTCCTATACGGATGAAACAGACTGTTGTGGTTTTTTGAGGTAAAACGAATATATATATATATATATATATATATATATAAAGTAAAGTCCCAAATAGAAACTCCTTTGAGAGGCAGCGTTGGAACAAGTCTACCGAATTGAATATCTTTTTGAGGTCGTGATTTGTCAAGAAGTTTCAGTTGAAATTAAACGATATTGTGGGAGTGATGGCGCTGCAACGGACATGTGCAATATTTATAAAGGACTAGCGGCGCACATGAGAGAACGTTCTTCGGGCCCCTTAGCATGTACATCCACTTAAATCCACTGTAGTGGTCATCTTCTCAATCCCGCCCTCCCGGATACAACAACTAACGAGTCATTCTCCAAAGCCTGTATCGACTTTCGAAACGCTACAGGTTGTTCCAAGACTGATCGATGAGGATTATATCAACCTAGCGCTCAAGTCATGCAGTTAAGTGTAATAACTATATAGTCATGCTGCTGGGAGGCTGTCAAATGCCATGAATCGTTCAATCACTGCTTACTATTTTGAAGAACAATTTGAACACAGTTCCTGCTTGGCGGTTTCATCTATGTGAGCACAAACGCCGTTACTTTTTTGAACCGCTTGCAAACCAATCATCTCAGGTCTCAAAGCGGTAGGGCCTACATTCGAATTACTTTTCGTTTAAGTTATTTGAAATAAATCCATTTGAAATATTTTAGGTTTACATGAGTGCTAATTTAATTTGTAAACAAACTGTAACGACGCAGTGTGAACCAAACACACCTACTAAATTCTGCAGGCATTCTTTCACTCTGGTGTAGTGTGAACATACTCAAAAATGCCAAAATACCGAGACCGAAGCGACCACGTCGATTGCAAGCGCGGCTCACAGCCTACAGGTGATGTAGTCATATAATCTATAGCCGAAGTCACTATCGTACCACAACATATATTATCAAAATTTTGTTGAATCCCCTACCAGCAACAGTTTTAAAAGTTTATAATTGTTTCCCGTGTTACTGCTGACATGCACTGACCAAGGGTATTAAAATGTCACTTGCTACTGGTATTATGCATGCCTGATCCTTTAAAAGTTTCAGTATTGTCTCCTTCCTTGAAAAAAGCTGATCTGACTTCAATCAATTTTCTAACATTCGACCTATATCCAATCTGCAACTTACTTCTAAGTTGGTAGAGAAAGCTGCTGCTGAAGTGCTGAACAAGATGATATGTTCCAGCACCCGTTCCGCACGTTGTAACCTATGGTTGTAACCAAATGTTTATTGGCGTTGTAATGCTATTGTATGCAATAAAGTATTGGGTTGTAACTGAAAACAAAACCGCATATATATTTCCCCGGAGGGGTAGCCGGCCGGGGCTAGGGTGTGCGGCTAGGGTTAGGGGTTAGGGTTTGAATTAGGATTAGCGTTTGGATTAATTGTAAATCCATTGTAACCAATACCTTATTGCATACAATGGCATTACAACGCCAATAAATTATTGGTTACAACGTGCGGAACGGCTGGTTCCAGTCAGTGGCGGCGGAATAGGGGGGGGGGGGGGG